CCCCCCACTTTAGCTTATTCATGTAAATGAGCAGCAGAAGCAACAGAGAGCTTTTCAAAAACCCCTGAGCATTGATGGCAAATCTTTCCATGCCTGGAGGATAGAAGTCTTTGTGAGAATAACACGCGCATCCTGAAGGATTTGATGATTTGAGAAAACTAAGGAGACAGATCCATGGGCACATAGTAGTTCCCCCAGACCCAGCACCTTCGGGATGGTGCAGTAATTCGCCTAGACTCAGCACCCTAGGGATGGCGCGGTAGTTTCTCTGGACCCAGCACCCTGGGGATGGCGCAGTAGTTTCCCAGGACACAGCACCCTCTGGATGGTGCAGTAATTCCCCTGGACTCAGCACCCTGGGGATGGCGCAGCAGTTTCCCAGGACACAGCACCCTCTGGATGGCGCAGTAGTTCCCTAGGACATAGCATTGTCTGGGTGGTGCAGTAGTTCCCCAAGACATAGCACTGTCTGGGTGGTGCAGTAGTTCCCAAGGACACAGCATCCTCTGGGTGGTGTAGTAGTTCCCCTGGACTCAGCACCCTGGGGATGGCGCAGTAGTTCCCCAGGACATAGCACTGTCTGGGTGGTGCAGTAGTTTCCCAGGACACAGCATCCTCTGGGTGGTGTAGTAGTTCCCCTGGACTCAGCATTCTGGGGATGGCGCAGTAGTTCCCAGGACTCAGCATCCTCTAGATGTGTAGTAGTTCCCCAGGACATAGCACTGTCTGGGTGGTGCAGTAGTCCCCCAGGACACAGCATCCTCTGGGTGGTGTAGTAGTTCCCCTGGACTCAGTACTCTGGGATGGTGCAGTAGTTCCCCAGGCCTCAGCACCCTCTGGATGGCACAGTAGTTCCCCAGGACACAACATCCTCTGGATGTGCAGTAGTTCCCCAGGACATAGCACTGTCTGGGTGGTGCAGTAGTTCTCCAGGACACAACATCCCATTGATGCCACAGAATCAGGCAGTGCATCCTGTAGACAGATACCAGAAGTTGGAGCTGGCTCCAGGTCTCCCACACTGCTGCCACCACAGCACCGCTGCCATTGCCACCACCACCACCACCACCACCACCACCAGCGGCAGTTCCCTTGAGGAGCTGCATAGATTGTGCTTTATTATAAGGATTTGTCATTGAGCTAGGAAACCATCCACTTTCTTGTTTGTTTGTTCTTAATCGTCTTTGATTTCTGATCAGACATCTTACAAAGGGCTAGAGATGCACTTCCTTGCTATTCCAAAGCCCACTCACTTGTTCTTAAGATAGTACCTGCGAAAAGATGTTTGAAATCTAGGAATCTGGACCTCAGGCCAGGTGTACATGCCAGCGAGTTTCCGGTAGGGTTAGGTTTGGCGGCCTTATTAAGGCCTCTCTAGATGTGGTAGCCATGGTAACCACATGCATACTCAGAAAATCCACCCCCAAGCCAACTTCCCCCAGCCATATTTCAGTTCTGAAGAGCCCATGTCGCCACCCCGACACCCAGACATGTACTAGAAAATTGATTCGGCACTGTTGCAATCCGTTTCTCTAAGTTACACAGCAAATCTGCTGGCCGCACCATTTAAACCCACCCTTCTGCTGTCGTAAAATTTGATACCACAGAACTCTCCCCTAGAAGGGAGAGGGAAAAAAGAGGCAATCCGATGCAGCTTCAGAAATCTGATTCTGGGGATTAGAATGCCATTTTTTTTATTTTAAACGACTTCCAGTCCGTGAGCGACGGACTCCCCATGTGCTCTGAGGACTGGTGCCCCCACCACACTGTTGGGAGACCAGCCAGTAAATCTGACTGCAGGCTGGGTAGTTTCCTCTGTCCCCATTCAATTTCATAGTCTTCATCTCCGCCATCAATCCAGCAGTGATGTAACCCGGTAAGAGGAGGTGGAGAACTTCAAGGGCAAAACACAGCTGTGCAGTAGGTGGTGGCGAAGCCGGCGGGGAGTTTGGATTTCACATCCTTGCTTGCTAATAAGAAAGAGAATCAACGTCGGCATAAGTGGCTGAGCTGGTCAAGGCTTTGGGGGAAATCTGAGGAAGGCGGTGGTGATTGCTGGTGTGACTCTCACTAGAACAGAGAACTTGGCAGGGACCTGTCCAAATAGAGCCTCTGAAATGGATTTAAGCTGTATTTTGTTGTCTGCCTCAGACCAGCACCCGGCTGACATGGTTCTAATCTGGGTGGTGACCTTTTGGGCCAGGACAGACTTTGCTGTGGGGGCCCTCTTGGCCCTCGCTGTCCTGTGCATCAAGCTGCATCCCAGCGTCTGCTCACTAGATGTCAGTAGTGTCCCTTCCTGTGTGTGACAGCCAGAAATGTTTCCTCAGACATTACCAGATCTCGCCTGACTGGGAAGCAGTTGGCTTTGGATAACTAGGGTTTTGGTCCAAGTTCCGTTGCTGTGGTAATCGCATCACAAGCAGAGGATGAGACATTGTTCAGATGCCGCGAAGAACTAGGAGCACAAGTCCACACGCTGGGGTGCCTTTGTGGCCCGGTTGATTGAAAGTGACCGCCCCCCCCACACCAAACAGGTGGGCTTTCTCGTGATTTCCACTGTCTAAGGGGCTCATCCTGAACCCATAAGACAACAAGCAGAAGACAGCTTCAGTGACGGTCCTTTCTTCCCTGCATGCAGGGCCCGCTTGCAGTCCTGCCACCTCCTCAGCATAAAACGAGTGAAAATGACTCCCAGTCATCTCCCTGGGAGGGTGCTCGGACCATTCTGTGTTCCCAAAGCCCTGCGAGTACACGTGCTTTCAATCATATGCCTCCCTCGCTTTTCTATCTGCCACCTGTAAAGGTTAATCTCTAGAACAGCTGCACCGCATACGAGAATTCAACGTGACCGTGGTGTTGCTGACCCGCACTGGCTTTGTCCACGTGCGAGGCACACACACCTGGGACGAGAGGGGCCGCAGAAGGCTGCTTCATGTCCTGACTCCCCGCATGTGCAGAGTGGAGCTGTGTGTGCTCAGCAGGGTTACTGATTTTTCTCGTAAGTAGATCACCAGGCCTTTCTTGTGAGGCACCTCTCTCTCTGGGTGAACTTGTGCCTCCAGTCTTTCCTTTGGTGGCCTAGGAAGTTAACTTGAGCCGTGCGGGGGACCCCGAGCTCAGTGCATGACATCGTAAACATCCACATTCAAGCATGTGCAGGGGCTTTGCTGTCCCTGCACCTCCCTCTGCATGGCCGTTTAGAGCCTGGTGAGCTGCTGCCTCCTGAGTAGCCAGCACCTTAGCTGGCCACCTGCCGTATGGAGACCACGATGAGCAGTGCCCTGCAGATTGGCCTCAACTGTTAACATTTGACCCTAATCCAATGCATTTGAGCTTGCTTAAGGCTTGGGTGGGGCCTGAGAGGTTTGAAAGTTGTCCAAGGTTGGCATCACACACTCTCTGGCAAAAACAAAGCCAAAGAAATCAAACACACTTGGGCCACTTTTCTGGGTATTCGGCGTCCTGGCACCTTTCATGGGGTAGCACCCAGAAAAATTTGTCTGGAAGGAGCTAGACAGTAGTAACTTCCTCTATACTAGGAGTCTGTTCCTCCATGCCAACACATGGATGGTCAGTGGGAAAGTTGTGGGGTGGGGATAATTCAATTTCCATGATGCAATAAAGTCTTGAGCTAAATACACGGAGTTCTCAGTGTTAAATTCAGCCAGGTGTGGAAGGGCAGGAGGGTAGGCGGCCTTCTTGTGGATCCTGAAACCTCTATCCGTTGGTTTGAGCATTGCTGTGCGCCTGGACGCTCTGCTCCCAAGAGGTCCCCAGCCTTTCTCCGTACACCACTGACTAGGTGCAGTGGACGTTCCGAGCACCCCCCCCCCCCCCCCCCGCCGTACCGTACCTCTCTGAGGTCAGCAGCATCTTTAATTGGGCTCCCAGCACAGTGGTATCTCTAAACGCTTCTATCGTAAACCACGCTAGAAGATGTCTGCAATGTCACGTAAGTAATGAGTGACTGAAGGCAGGAACTAGGCAGTGTGCAGTGGCCAGTGTTGTTGGGCACTGTCCAGGCAGCTGTGCCTCAGGACAGGACGACACGCTGCTCTCTGGTCCCGTCCCATCTTCATGACCCTTGGGCTATGTGACACCAGTGTTGTGGATATACCAAACCAAAACCAAACCCACTGCCATCAAGTGAGTACTGACCCCTGTGGATATCAGAGACTAACTGTTTACAGGAGTGCCAAGTCCAGTTTGTCTCCTGCACAGCCTGCTGGTGGTTTTGAACTGCCAACCATGTGGATCACAGCCCAATGCTTAACCACTACAGCACCAGGGCTCCTATGTGCCAAAAAAACTATTGAAAAAATATGTATCCAAAACAGGGAGCCCTGGGGGTTTAGTGGTTATGTGTTGGCCTACTAACTGCAAGATTAGTGGTTTGAAACCAATAGCCACTCCAAGGGACAAAGTCAAGGTTTTCTGGAAAGAAAGACTGGCTCGGAAACTCCCAGGGGCAGCTCTTCCCTCCCGGATGAGTTGGAATTAACTTGATGGCAGCGAGATTGCTTTGTTTGGGTATTGGCATATAGTCCACATGTCGTACAATTCAGCAGTTCCGTCATGTTCAGGAGAGTTATAAGCCACAGTACAATTCTGTAGTTCAGTCATGTTCAGAAGAGTTGTGTGATCATTGCCACAATCAATTTCAGAACCCTTTCTTCTTCCTACTCGGTGTTGCTCTGGGGATGGGTGTTATTCCAGTGGTGGGTTTTTCTTATCTCTTGCCAGCCCTTTACTTTATTTATTTATTGGCCTTTGCCTTATAATGACATTCCAGTGGTTGTTTTTTTCCTGAAGGACTCCTGGTGGTGCTGTGGGTCAGGCGGTGGGCTGCTAACTACCGGCCAGCGATTCAGACCCTCCAGCCACCCCATGGGGAAAAGGTGAGGCTGGCTACACCCATAAAGATTTACGGTATCAGAAACCCATATAGGGCACTGAGTTGGGAGTGCATCAATAGCCACGTTGTTGTTCTTTCTTTTTTGGTGGGAGGAGGGGGTTTGGTGTTTCCCGAGAATAGACTACTATTAACCAAGGAGCTGGTGAACTGCTAACTTAAAGACCAAGGGTTCAAACCCACCCATTACTCCCAAGGGAGAAAGATGAGGCTGAGTCTCTATGAGTCAGAGTCAACTTGAGTAGTAACCAGTGTGGTTTCCATCCTGGTCTCTCGGGCGCGCCTGCCCTGGCGTCGTTTTATTGCTTGTTAGTGTTCATTCCTAAACATGGAGGTTCTGGTTTGTGCACACTGTTGATCATGAGAAGGATTCTCCGTGTTCAGGTTTTCAGAAGCACCAGCATCGCAGCTGTTGTTCCTCGTGTCGTCTCTGAGGTTTATGGTGTGGCCTCTTTCCTCCCTCAGGTGCACTTAGAACTACCTCCCAGCTCTGTGGTCATCCAAACACACGAAGATTTCAATTTGCTCAAATCCAGCAATAGCAGGCGATATGACGTCCTCAAGGAGATCCTGACCGCACTTGGCATCAGCTGTGACACAAGACAGCTTCCCCCCTTGACGCCTCTCCACTTACTATTGGCTGCTGAGGTGAGGGCGTGCTCCGCAGGGGCAGGGGAACTGCGGGGTGGGGGTGGGGGGCGGGCCTCTGGAGTAGGATGACCTTTTCTCCTAATTGGGCCACTTTAGTGAATGAGTATCCATTTTGCCATTGCATTTGGAAATGGTCTTGACGACTCCCAGCTGGGATGGGTCTGTTTGTAAGGGAAGAGGTTGTAGTTGGACCCCAGCTCTCAGCAACCCACACACCACCCGGTGGAACACATCCCCATGGACGGTTGTCGATCAGATAGTTTCAGTCCCTAGAGTTTTCATTGGCTGATTTCAGGAGTACACACCAGGCCTTTCTTCCTAGTCTGTCTGAATCTGGAGCTTCCACCAAATTCTGCTCTATGGCATCGCCACATGCAGACGTCCACTGGCAGATGGGTGGTGGCTGTCAGAGCCCCGCACTGGCAGGGAATGGAAGCAAGGTCTCCTGCATGGAAGGCAAGAACTGACCACTGAATCCGCCCTGCCAAGGTGTCAGCTCTTAGGGATTTGGCCTCTTCCATGCTGAGGGACCCAAGAGTCACTCCACTCTTTGAAGTGTAAGGAATGTACTTGGGACCCGAAGATTCTGGCCTCAAGGACATTTGGTTTGATTTGGGCCTTCCTCAGTAAATCTTAGGATGGGAAAAATCACAACATCTCTTAGTTTGTGCCTTTTTCTGCCCTGTCGGGGACCAGAGGCTGTGGATGTCAGCTCTCCCATTTTGTCTGGTTGGGTCTGAGAGGAAATGCCCAGGGAGATGAGGGTGTATTCGGCACTTGAATGGTCCTTTGTGTGTTAGCCCCTGCCTGATAGCTGGCCTCGGGCAGGTTCCCAGGTTCACCAGGCCTTGTCCCTGAATTCCCCGGCTTTGCCCAGCTGTCAGGTCCCTGTTAATTGGGGCCAATGACTCTGAGTCTTTGTCTTCTCTCCCTTACCCAGGTAACTATGCGGTTTAGTCCAGGTGACTCTCAATAGCACCTCTACCTGCTCTCCCTTGAAAAGAATCAATTATATCACACCCCCCCCAGACCTGCATGTTTTAAAAGAGGGGGCATTCTATGCCCTTTGGCCCTATGCCCTTTCCTCTACAGAGGAAAGTAGAGCCAGCAGCGATTAGGCTAGGGCGGCTAGGGTGTGCTCACGGAGTGAAGCCAGGTAGAATGTGTGAAGCGTTTAGGATTAGGAAGTGTTATAGGATTTCTTCACGACTGGATGAGATACATAATAGGAGTCCTGGTGGCACAGTGGGTTGCTAACAGCAGGGCCAGCTGTTTGAAACCAGTAGGAGAGAGACGGGATTTTCTACCCTATGAAGAGTTATAGCCTCAGAATCCCACCGGGCCATCGGGCTGTCCTACAGGGTCACTGTGTGTAGGCATTGACTCGGCAGCGAGAGTAAGGTTTTTGAGATTGGATGAGATAATAAGCATATGGGGACGGCTTGCAAGTGGCATGATTTAAATTGTCGTGTGGTTATTATTATTATTAGGCTGTTGGGAGTTATGTATAATATGTGTAACCAGTGCCTGGTTGAAGGAGCCCTGGTAGCCCTATCAGGCAAGTGTTTCTAACCCCAAGGTCCATGGGTCAAACCTAGTAGCTACGCTGCAGGAGACAGGTGAGGCTATCTTTCATCATTGTGGACTGCTACAAGGACAAACTGATTTGTCTTGAAGAAGTAAGGCCAGAGTGCTTCTTATAGGCAAGGATGGCAAGCCTTCATCTTAACACATTTTGGTCATGTTGTCAGGAGAGACTGGTCCCTGAGAAGGACATTATGTTTGGCAAAGAGGAAGACCCTCTTCAACAAGGGGGACTGGCACAGTGGCTGAATCAATGGCTCAGGCACAGAACCATGCGGTGTTTAATTCTGTTGTGGTAGGGTCAGAGCCAACTCAACGGCACCGAACAACAACAAGGGATGATGGTGCACATGGATGTGAAGCTAGGAATCACTGACGGCGGTGGGCGGTACCTCCTGCCCTCTCTGAGACTGAGACTGAGTTGTTACCACGCGTTGTGCTGGTGCAGTGTGGGTAGAATCTTGGAGTCCGTTCTACGTCGTCTCTTTTCTTGCAACTTGCCTAAATAGAGCTCCTTGATCCCCACAGAATTAAGTTTCTTAGAGCTCATCTTGGTACTTAGTCACCTGCCATGCTCTGCTGTTTTGTTGATGCTCATCACCTTTATGAGCGTGATGAATGATAGATACCAGCACTAGCTTTCTGCCTCCTGCTTTCTGTAAAATACTCTGCCCTGTTGGGAACCGAAGATTTATCACCACAAGGTGTCACTGCCGAGCTAGCTGCCTGGTGTACAAGTCTCAACTCTGCAGTAGTTCAGAGATTTCATTTCCCCCCACTTTGTATAAATTTAACATAGGATCATCTAGTACTTTACTCTTATATTGTTGCCACTTTCTTTTGGGTCCACAGAAATTATGTAAATGTCATAGTTAATATTATAATGTTTTTTCCTTTTTTTTTTCAGTTTTGTATTTCATCGGGGAGCTCTTACATATCTTATAATAATCCATCATTCAATTGTATTAAGCACACTTAATGCTGCCTTACGTTGTATTGAGTACATATGTTGCCATCAACTTTATCAAAACATTTTCTTTCTACTTTAGCCCTTGGTATCAGCTCCTCTTTTTTTCCCACCCCCCCACCCAACCATGTGAATCCTTGATCAATTACGTATTATTGTTATTTCATGTCTTATACTGTCCATTGTCTCCCTTCACCCATATATTTGTTATTTGTCCCCCTCGGGGTGGAAACAGTACCGTGTTGTTTTTTTTAATCGTTTTATTAGGGTCTCATACAACTCTTATCACAATCCATACTTACATCAATTGTGTAAAGCACATTTGTACATTCATTGCCCTCATAATTCTAAAAACATTTGCTCTCCACTTATGCCCCAGGCATCAGGTCCTCATTTTCCCCCTCCCTCCCTGCTTTCTCCTTCCTCATGAGCCCTTGATAATTTAAAATTTTTATTTTGTCATATCTTGCCCTGTCCGACGTCTCCCTTCACCCACTTTTCTGTTGCCGTCCCCCAGGGAGGAGGTCACATGTAGATCCTTGTAATCTGTTCCCCATTTCCACCCCACCCTCCCAGTATCACCACTCACACCACTGGTCCTGAAGGGATCATCCGCCCTGGATTCCCTGTGTTTCCAGTTCCTATCTATAACAGTGTACATCCTCTGGTCTAGCCAGACTTGGAAAGTAGAATTCGGATCATGATAGTAGTGGGGTGGGGAAGGAAGCATTTAGGAACTAGAGGAAAGTTGTATTTTTTGTCATTGTTACATCGAGTACCATGTATTTATTGAACATTTTTAGCATTTCTACCCTGTCAGAATGACAAGGATGGTGAGACTCCGTCTTACATACTTTGGACTTGTCAGGAGAGACCAGTCCCTGGAGAAGGGCATTATGCGTGGTAAAGTAGGAACTAGGTAGGCCCTCAGGGAGATGGGCTGACACAGTGCTAGCAACAATGCGCTCTGGCCCAGGACTGGGCATTGCTTCGTTCTGTTGTGCACCGGGTCGCTGTGGGTCAGAATTGACTCGATGGCACCTAACAGCAACCACAACAAGCCTGTCATGTGGGGTCGGCCCGAGTCAGAACTGATGTGACAGCAGCTAACAGTAACCACAGGCACTACGGATCGTGCAAATGGTTAATGCGCTTCAAGGGGTTGGACGTTCGACTCCTCCCAGAGGTGCATCAGAAGAAAGACCTGAGACCTGAAACTCAGCCATGGAATGTGCTGCGGAGGACAGTTCTAGACTGGCACCCACGAGGTCCCCAGGGGGTGGGACCTGACCCAGTGGCAACTGGTGTCAGGCACCATTATAGGATGGACTCCGAAAGAGCAGGATGGACCCCGGAGTGAGCCGAATCCTTTCACTGCATGCCAGCGGTGTCTGTACAGGTTGGCTGCCGTGGAAGTTGCTCTTCATAGTGCACCGCACAGAGAAGAACGAGGCACCTCCGCGCTGCCATGCTGCTGTGCTGGGGATGGAGACAGCTACACCCCCGGGAGTGCTGCTCATCTTCAACACTTCCTCGGGCGCTTTCCAACATCCCTACCAGGAACATTCTTTACTGTTTAAAATTCGCTTTCTAAACTCTGGATTAGGAGTGAGGGGAGGTTGACAGAGCAGATCCTCCGTGTCCCATTCTGCAGTCCACCCGCATTCTGTGTCAGCTCCTCCTCTGCAGTCCCTCTGCACGCCAGCACTCAGCCCACTCCCGCCCTGTGGTTCCTTTTCCACACCTCTCTCCCGCCCAGCCTTCTGAACATTGTTCCTGGGGCAGTGCCGCCCATTTGATCATGACCGGTGGATTATTCTAACATAGGGGTGAGTTGGGTTCCAGACCAGAAGGGAAACTAAGGACCATAGTTCAGGGACAAGGGGGTCCTACCAGCCTCTGTCAGACCAGTAATTCTGGTCTCTATTACGATTTTAAGTTCTGTTACACAGTTTTCTCCCGCTCTCACCAGAGCCTTCTAATACGGCCTTCTCAGCGAGTACCTGGAAGGGCTGGTTGGGCACCATCTAGTGCTTCTAGTCACAGGGTTGTGGAGCCTGATGTTTGCTTGGTTCATGGGTCCATTGGAACAGTTGTTTCCATGGATCTTTTGATTTCCATTACCTTTCTTTCAGCTGGATGGGGAGAGGCCAATATTCGTACTGTAGATGGCTGCTCAGGAGCATTTAAGACCCCAGTCACTACCCACCAAAGGAGAACGTCTGTGAACTTTGATATGCTAATTGACTTTGGTGTCTCCCAGGCCATAACTATTACTTTTACAGTGAGAAAAAAGCCAACCAGGCGGGCACTTACAGTATAGCAGCCCCTTGGCATGTGCTAGCAGTGTGTTCTGACACCTCCTCTGATACTCAGACACAGGATAGGATTTGATTCCTGCCTAAAGCCCAGTCCCATGTGACGTCACAAGCACGGGCACGGACAA